ATGTGCAAATCTTTAATTTCTGTGCATTCACTATATTTTTCGTGTAAAGTAATTTACACTAATTTAGCATAGACCCGAAAGTTTTACATAAAAAATATATATGAATATAATTTGAGTGAAAATTATAAGTATTATTTTTAATACCCACTCAAAGGTCAGTTTTTCTTCAAAATTCCTCCACAATGGCATCTCTCTCTTTAGGCAGATAGCCCTTGCATGCGTTACTCTATTTAATAAAAACTTAATCTGACCTATGTGCCTAATTACAAATATTTTAACATACATAATTTTTATATTTACATTTAGCCATCAAGTTTCAAACTTTTCAAATCTTCTAGAAAATAAATTTTGGCAGATCTCTTTTAACAATTTTCTTAAAATCTATATTTTTGTAGTGCAACAGCTTAGAATTTTATAAAACAAATTCATAATCAAAATCGCTGTTGTTAGTTATCGAAAAATAACCAAGATGTGATTTTTGCGTAAATGTCAGTAAACTATACAAATTGCTATTATCCATTACACTATGAATGTTTCTTTCATGCGAGAGTGTCCCTTTTTCGATTTCTATGGAACTGTCGTGTGTCGAAATACTATCAGAATCTTGTCAAGCGAGCTTCTGAATGTAAACAAACAACACCCCGTCTGGTGACCCAAGCTTCAAAGCAGTGCTTCACTTCTAGTGCGGAATGGCCCCTCCTCCCTTTCTTACCTCCATGGAAAAAGCAAGTGGCTGGCCATTTGGGGGGGGAGGGGTGTTACTTTTCAGTAATAGTTGAGAAATTTATTTCCTAGTGATAATTTTAAGTAAAAGGTTTTTAATACAAATCCAGAATTAATGGCATGGTTTTTCGTAACGCAAAGATTAATCCATCGCACCTGCATATAATATTTTATTTCTGAAGATCAGAGATAATGCCTTTTTAATGTAATGAATATTTTCAGTATAAATATAAATTATATAATCCCTGAAAGTTCCGAATTATGAAACTTGATTCGGTATCTAAAACAGATTTAAGTTCCTTTGGAGCAAAAATCAGAAAAAAGGACAGAGTTTCCCGAAATGTCCATTAGCATTCCGTATGCTTCAAATGTCTCCTATTCGTGTTTTATTTTCCCATCCTCTAATCAAGTTAAAAGCTTTCTCCCCTCAAGAATATTCATATACATATTCTGCAATAAAGATGTTATTTTTACGACTCCGTCATCGTGCTCGCATTAGGTGGGAAAGTATCAAAGTATCCCAATTATACATTTTTAAAAGTATATTAATTATTAATATTACAAAAATAATTTCATTTTTAATTGCATACATACTCCCTAAATTTGAATTAAGAAATTAGTTGAAATAGAAAAGCTTATCCGAAGCATTCAACTTGTAGATGAGTAAGTTAAGAGTATTTGCCCATTTCACTGAAAAAACTTTGCTCGGGATGAGGAGAAATTATTCCAACTTGCCTTCGCAATATTTTTCTTCAGCCAACTGTCTTAGTACTAAGTTATAATAACTATAACTGAATTTGAAATCATAAACTAATTTTGGATAAACATTGTAGAAAAAAATAAAAGTAAATAGAGTATTATTATTGTAAAATCGCATATACAAGAAAGTCATATTGAGCAACTGCAAACTTTTGTATCCGAAACATCCGAACTGGTACCAACTTAGTGATAGCAAAGAAGAATACCGAGTATAGTTTTCTTTCAATGTATTCCAGCACAAAGCATATTTCAAAAAAATGACGCTAGTTAAATGTAGAAGTTGCTAAAAATTTTCCTTTCAGTTTATTATCCTTTCAATATATAAATCTGAATTTTATAAAAATTCTTAAAATAAAACTTTTAAGAATTGTATCTCCAACAAAGAGCCATTAAAAAGTAAGTCTGTCGCAAATCGTTCGTCATGGTTTTTTGTTCGCAGGGAAAGCAATTTCTGTCTTCAACACTAATAGAATAGTCGCAAAAACAAACATGAAAATGACAAGATTTTCTTTTGAATGCGATTATATAAATGGCAAAGAAAAAACTCACGTTCATTTCCTTCTTTTCACTTGTATTTTTCTTTCATCCTGATAACGTTTCTCACGAAGTCATACTTCTCTTTACAAAACTGTAGAAGTATTTCAAGCTAAGATTCAATATTGAACCAGACTTGAGGTAAAATTTCTCTTGGCACTCAATTGTGGTACGGAAAATTATTGTAATGATGAAACATATCGTAAGCGCCTTAATCAATGTCAGTTATAGTCTACTCAAAAATGCATGAAAACCGCACTTATTTCTGATTTAGTAAAAACTTGGATTTACCTTATATGAAATTTAACTGAGACACTTGTTATTCTCTGGGCTGAAAATTAGCACATTTCATGTTTAAGGAACAATCCAAAATTCTTCAACATCGCCAACAATTCGATGATATGTAAAACTATATATACGGCAAAAACATCACGGCGTTTTTGAGCTTTGAATGTAAAACAACAAAAGTATTTGTTTCAAAGCAATGAAAGCAGTAAGAATTGTATGAATTGGAGGCTCCCTTCAGCCCACCTGGACACGAGTGTCCCCATAGCTCAAAAGAAAGGGCCCCGTATATCCACAAACTAGGGCAGCCAGTAAGTAACCCAGCCACCCCCAAACAACAAACAAAAATACTAAATTAAAAATAAGTAAACAGTTTGCTAAAAATACTAAATTAAAAAAAACCAGCAATGAAAGCAATATATGTAACAGGCAATACCCATTTGGTGGGGTTTTGCGAAAACCATATTAGACTCCCAACACAACAGTATTTGGAAACACGCTGTGAAAGAATTAATTTGAAGGTTTGATTTCCATGCGTATAATTTTACTCAGAAACCCAAAGTGTTGCTTCAAGAGAAGGTTTTTCGGTAGTTCAACCAATCAGAAAAAAAGGATCATGGAAAGTGATACGAATAATACTAAATTTCTACTTGGCGTCTGAGCCAATCTACTTACTGAATAACGGTAAATTAATGATATACACTAAAATATTTGGAATATTGAAAATGTCACTGAGTTTCACGAATTTAACGTCGAATCTGATAGCAACTTTAGCCGCGATGTGATTAAAATGGAGTCGAGAGCAACTTATGTTTTGACAATTCTCCAGTCAGAACAGAGCTTAAATTTAGTCATAACCTAACCAGATACTACCCCAACTGTTCCTTTATATCTGGGGGTGTAGGATTCTGACAGAATACCTCATCGTACGCAAAGGACCGCAATACCAATTAGCTACATAAACCAGCCGAAGTTATTCGTAATTTCTACTTGTATTAAATCTTGAGCTATTTCTCCTTGAACCTGAATTTGGCGACAATTTGCGATTATATGTATCATTGATATAAGTGTGTAATATTTGTACTATGATATATTTTTCATGTTAAATTCTTTAATTTTAAATTTATACAAGATAAACGAGGTAAAATTTGCAATAAACACGAAATAACAACTAAAACAATTTTGGGATAGCAAACAAATGAAAAATGAAAAATACAATGCAGTTTTTCTCAACCGGAGTTTCCTAAAATCTTACGGTTCTTCTAGAAATCGAGATGAATGTGCTAATCAAACGTATTAATTGATTAAATTTTAATAAAATCAGTTTTTTTAATATTTGTGTAGGAATTTCTTGAAAGATGAATATTATATTCCTTCAAGGCTCTGTGCAAGAGTTGATAAATTAAGTAACGATACTGTAATGAATGAATAATTTAGATGCGTGTTATTTAGAGATTTAATTAAAATCTGGCAAACTGACTCTGCGTACCTCTTGGAGCATAATATACCTCTTTTAAAGCACAAAAATGATAGCCTCTCTATGATTAATTTTTTATCCAGATCCTAAAATTAATATGCACATTTATCTAAGAGAGAAATCAGGTTCCTAATGTTCTTTGTTATAAAATGCAGATGTAATTCTGAATTTCTTTTTTAAAAAATCAGTTAATATTAAATCAAGTCTAGGGTTTAGGCCTACCAGTGGCCGAGCGGTAAAAGCCGCTGAACACTGGTAGTTCGGTTCGGGATTCGAGTCCCGGCGAACGGGCTGGCTGCATGGGCGTTTTCGTGGTTTTTCCCATGTGTAACGTGGGTACAAGCCAGTTTTCCTAAAAAAGACCTCCACGGGGCATCCCTTCCTTTCCGTGTAGTGCCTAAGGGCGGAGCACGTAATAAGAGAAAAAAAAAGCCTAAGGGTTAAATGTTAGGTACCTTCCCTTTATTTAAACTCACCTCATTTGTATTTTTGCTCCTGGCATTCATTTGTTGTATTATAAAATTTTTTTGATGACGAATCTTCCTAATTTATAACATAATTAAACAAGTGGCATTTTTAAGTTTTAATTTTTTATTTTATAGGGTTAAATAAACAATAGAAATTCTTTAATTTGATTATGACATATACTTTAAATGAATCCTTCAGTACCACGTTTCAAAAAAGCTTCTAAAACAAGACCCATTTTTCAAAAAGTGTTATGAAATACAAATGTTTATTACTTTCCAATACAAATTTTCTACTGTCAGCAGAAATCCAGTATCAATTTCTAGAGGCGAATACTCGAAAGAACTGACCTATTTGCAAAAATATCTCCATCATATGGGTTTGGTAAACACATCAATGAAGCCTGGCTAATGTGACTCGCGCTCTCATTTAAAAATCTGATCTTAATGATGTTGCGGATAGGAATTCTGCAGGAAATTTTAGGATCCCCCCCCCAGGTTATGTTGGGCTGCTAGACGGAGACTAGTGGGGGGAAACCGAGATCTAGGATAGGTTTGTTTGCAGGGGTGGGTACTTTATTATGCTAATCGAAAAATATCTTACAATTTGTTAGCGATGTTCAATTGTTAATCGAAAGTTTTTTTTAATCAAAGAAATTTTCTAAACTATATACTTGAGGGAAATAAATCCTCAGCAGCGTATTTATTTCACGAATTTAAGCAATAGTTATAGGGTATTCTCTCCCTCCTTTCAGCATGCCTTCGTGGTGTAATGGTTAGCACACTCGACGCGCATTCGAGACGTTCAGGGTTCGAGTCCCGGCGAGGACATTGCTCGTTTTTCACATCTCCCGCTTTTAAAAAATACTTAATGTCTCTACAATATTACAACATAATTCTATAAAGAATAGCTTAAGTTCAGTACCTGACATATCTGCAAAAAGGCGCAAACTGCTTATGTTGATTGATTACTGAATACTTTAGCACAACAAAAAATTAATTTTATTGCAGTTATTCCTTTTCCTCTGATGTCTAGTATAGTGAACTACACCAAGTCCATTAGCTCGTTCATCATTTACAAACCCAAGCCCAGACTCCGACATAAGAAAAAAAATCTTGCAGCAGTCTAACAGATGAGGGAAGATTTAGGAAGATACTGACATAGGGAGGTAAGATGAAAATGCTTTTGTGTCGTGGCAGGAAGTAAGGGATCGGACATGACCTCTGATAATAAGTTTGGAAAATTTTCTGTTATATATCCGCTCACTTTCATACAGAAGTGTAGATCTGAGACGGTCTATTTGGTATAACCTAAGAGAAGAGGGAAACTTTTCAACTATAACTATTCAATAATTTCTAAATGGTAAAGTTATTAATTTCGCTTTATAAAAAATATGCATTGCAAAATATACGACTGATTGCTGCGTACCGAAAAACCATAGGATCAACTAATCAATTTTTTTATGATAAAAAGACAAAACATGAAGTTTTATCAAATTATCTACATTTCAAATTATTTACATCATTAAATTTCACCTCTAAGAACGCCAGAAAAACTCGGAAAATTTGACAGTGATGTATTTGCATGCATTCCACTTGAACACAAATTTGCATAGAAAACTAATGCAGCATTTAAAAAATATAATTATTCATAGAAAACTGATAATCTTTATTTCTATGGCTTAGTATATAAACCAGTAATTCAGAAAAAAATTCATTCTCCAAATAAAATGTTTATTTTTAATACCATCTAATTAAAGCGCATCTTGTCCGCACTATAGTCTGTTATTTTAAACTAATCACTTCAAGGTCTCTGCCCCCCCACCCCTTTTGCGTGTCATCATCCCCGTCCAACACTATTCTCCACCTCATTTGAGACCAATATTAAGTTACCCTTCAATCACGTGCTTTTCACGAAGCGAAATATTACAAACGTCAATTGGGTGTGAGGGATATGGGATTCACCCAAAATACTCTAGAATAACAAAAATTATTGGCAACAGCATCCGCCGTTACCATGGTTTCAAGACGGTAGGAATGACCTTGAATGACTTAATGCTTCAATCACTTGAGCGTTGTTGTTCATAAGAGTGAAACTCATAAGTCATTGGATAACAAAAACACCTGTTGAAAAGCGATGGGTAGAAAAAAAACGCGGCGTTTCTCTTACAGACTGTTAAATTATGCTGTCTTCTATTACAGAAAATAATGCAGTTTAAGACAAAAGCTACATATTTTTACTCCCGTGACTTTACAACAGACATTATAGTTATACAATGAACTCTCAGCTGCCCTCGCACAAGACGCCCATTAACATTTCAAAAGGAGTTCAAATTAACTGTTTCGAGAAAGTGGTTAATTCATTATAAGCAAACTGCGTATGAATACATTTTCTCATATAACATAAATCCCTTGTCTCATACAAACAAGCTAACTATCGCACATACTCAAGAAGCAGCTAAAACTTAAATATTAAATTTAGATGTTATTTTATATTATGTAAAAAATTTAATTGTATTTCGTGTAATTTAACTGAAAATGAAAAATTGATTAAATAGGATTCCACACCTTCGACTATCAGAGGACCATTTGGTTCTTAAGATTTTATTCATATGAATAGCTCATCAGAAGACATGGGGTAAAAAATGAATTTTCTCGCAATCAACTGATGAGAGACAGATTCAACTGGATTTGGAATAGCCTTATCTGAAGTGTTCGAAAACACACTATAAATCTCCAAATTGCAAGTTTGTAAGAACGCATTTAGTGCTCGGCCCCCCTTGGCTTAATGTGATTTGGCTCGCATTCTAATAAGGGAGTCGGTCAGTAGCAGACATCGGAATAGGGCTACCAATCACTGTCTTCGGCTTCATCAGAGGCAGAGAGAGAAGGATTAAACTGACTTCTCCCTTGATTCCTTTACAATTGCCTGCGCTCATTAATGCAGAACCCACTCGAATTATGGAAAAGCATTCGTCAAAGATGATGGCCATTTTTATACCCGGAATACATTTGCTTAAGAAACGCCTCGCAATTGGGTAGCAGAGCCGTCGAGTTTAGGACAAGAGATAGCGAAGGGGAAAAAAAAAACACATTCGATCGTTTCGCTTCTAAAGAAGATTAATTCTTGTCTTCGACGGAGAGTTTTCATCGATGTCATCATTCCTTCTATCGTTAAGTAGAGAGAAGACGAGATTTAATGACTTCAGAAGTTGATGTTTGTCAAGAGTAGATGGAATGAGTGTTGGCAACTTTGTCCACCGTCCAACGTACATTTCAAGTTTAGTTCTGCAAATGGCTGTTGTTGAGAGAATACTGAACACTCTCTTTTTGCTTAAAATTATCAATTCAAATCATTAAAAATTTCTTTCCAAACTGCTATCTTATGGATGAAAATTTTTCGCTATTACCTGCAATCACTATTGGGAGAGGGGGGGGACTCTACAAAACGAAACTCCTAACCGCCTTTCTTTTGATTAGCACAAACTTTCTATATGTTTGAAACAAATCTAGGCTTAGACATAAAGGCACCGTCATCATTTATTTCATTATTAAGTTGTCCAAATGTTAGCAATTTTTCTCACTTTGGCAGGATACCCTCATAATCTCTTTATTACTTTTACGGTTCATTATATTTCGATTTCTGCACTAAATACAGTTCACTTAAATTTTTTAAGTCTTGACTCATAATTAAAAAATATATATAGAAAACAGCATATAAAAATATATTCTTTAAATGACGAATTTTTTTTTAAAATGGATTTTTTTTTTTTTTTTTTTTTAAGTCCAAAGGGATTTGAATCCCGAAGGACTATTAGTTTCGTTTTGGCATTTTGCGTCGGACTCATAAATGTCGGTTCACTTTTCAAACTGTTGCCACAAAATGTTAGAGTCCTGCATTATATTTGAAGAAATTAAATAATGAAAAATCTGCATAAATGTATGTATATTTCTCGTATTGTGATAAAACAACGGTACATAGAGTCATCGAATTTTGAATAACGTAATCCTCCAACGAATATGAGCATGTGGAAGACCAAATTTGATTTGAAATTTGTTTTATGATCGATTTCCTATTTTTTAAAACTTTGACGAAATTTTGATTAACAAACTCAAGGATTTCAAAGCGAGCAATGGCAACGTTGTGCAGAAAAAACATTTTTATCTCCAGCGCGTGAGTCTCTGTATCGGAAATTCTAAAGATATGCTCGTTTTAAAACTATTTTGCGATATTGCTGTTGCACTGGATCTTATGGTTTAAGTGCGAGGAACATGATATTTAATAAAGAAAGGTAACACACAAAATGTTAAAAAACGCCCCTTTGGACGTAATTTAAAATCTGAAACATTTCAGTTTTTTTTTTTTTTTTTTTTTTAATATTTTCTCATAAGATCGATAGCGGCATAGAATCGAAACCGGTTTTTCAGTTGCCTTGTCGATCTTGTGGCTGTCGGTTTATGACTTCGTAACAACAATGCTCCTTCGAAAATGTGCTGGCCACTTTATGCAGGTCGTCCATCATTCGAAAAGATTGAAATCTTCACAAAGGTGCACTAATTCTTAGACCAAAAAAATAACCTTCGTTTGCTAATAAACAAATTAGGGGGGAAAAAACCCTTCATATGCTGGCACATTACCGCCAGCGCATATTTATGCAAGTTCCATTTTTGCGTGCATAATAATTTACGTTTGGAAATGTTTACTTTTACCTTATAGTGCCCACACTATAAGGTATTTTCTCCCTCCTTTCTGCACTGCCTTCCTGGTGTAACGGTATGTGCTACCGTTACACCAGCTATGTCTCCTGCTTCAAAATAACCTAATGACTATACAGCATATTTATAACCTAATGACACTTCAAAATAACCTAATGACTATACAGTTACTTTTTGCAGCTTAGAAACTGATCTTCATAAGGATGCGCGCACCTTTACGCCGAGGAATTCTGTTCGAATTGCGAGTGTCCTGCATAAGGCTGCGGCCACCTTTCTTACAAGGCAATCTTATGAAATGGTCCCGTCGGCTCTATGCAAAGTCGGCAAAGTGCCACAATCCCGTTCTATTGATAAATTATTGGTTGACTTAGGTTATTAATATCTCTACTCAACGGATTACTAGCTTTTCAGGATACTACAATAGTTTCTTATTTGCGTGATGGAAAACAAAATATTGATGAAAGATCACATTCTGTGTAAAGATCATCAAAATTCAGTATCTTCTAAAGTCGATTTTTGCTAAAACCTAAAGCAGAAGACTACGAAAACAGCACAAGTATACCCCGCCGGTTGAATTTTTTTTTCACTCAAACCTTCAAGCGATTGTTTCTTGTCTTAAAATATCTGTACTCTAAAAATTCTTAAAGCTCAGCAAGATTATCCGTTTCAGATACTGCATAGTGCATTAAAGCTCTAGCAAGATTATTCGTTTCAAATACTGCAGAGTGCAGTGTCAAACCTCTAGCTTATTAATTTACCTTCAATCATACTAATTTCAGTGGGTATCGATAATGTCTGATTTCATCTATGAATAAATTGTTTAAAATTCACAGATTCATTATTTTCAAAAGTAAATCTTCTTACATTAAAAACTTATGAAGAAGACTGAAAAAGCAACATAGGCATTTTTTTGTCTTACAAAAGCAAGGAAGTAACACAATCTATAAAGCAAACACGCCAGTTGATTTCGCCACACCCCCGCAAACACAAAGCACATACAAAATGAATAATAAAAAATTCAATTTTTTTTCCTGTCAAAAAAATTTCTCCTCTCTTCTTTCGCAGGTTTTCACGCACGAGCAACTTTCAAAATGTGCGAAATACGAGAAGGTATTCGAAGAAATAAAAATTAGTTCTTTTCCAACAACAAGTCCGGTGATTCGCAGCTCACACAGGGAAAAGGAAAGAAAAGTAAATAAAACGAAAGCTAAAAAAAGTGAGAGATGCATGACCCCAGAAAACTCTTGATTGCTTTAGTTGGTCATCTAGAGTCTCAGGATGTATGGACTCACTGCATACCACTACGTCTAAAACCTCCCTCAAAAACTAACATCGAGAATAGAAAAAATATAATATTCTCATCCTGCGCTGTATATAAAAGAGCACATACACACAAAAAGAAACACAGGAAAACAAAATGCCAGTACGAGTTGGAGTGTGTGTGAGGGAGTCTCAGAAGTATGCGGTAGTTTTATGAAATTGAACATTTGTGGCTGCAAAGCCATTGATATGAATAAGTAAGCACGTAGCTCGGTGAGCTCGCACGGAATTCTGTTATTTATTCATATTCATACAACGGCGCAATTTTTTTTCCTTCTCTCTCTCTCTCTCTCTCTCTCTCTTCATCCTCTCTGGTTCTATAGGGGCTGCGAGCCCTAAAAAAAGCAGATTTTGTACAGCGAACGGAATGCCGTCACTCGAAAAGAGAGTTGCAACATCCAGCAGAATTATCCAAGGAATGCTGAAGCAAATTCCAGCATGCATGTAATATAATGCTGTAACGCAAGTCATATATAAACTTGATAGTAAAAGATGATGTAAACCAGTAGCTACCAATATAAATATACTCAGACGCGAAATATTAAAGTAATAAATTATTACTACTAATTAATGGTAGATATATGGATTTCATATTTCATTTTAAATAAAATGCGCATGTGTGATTCATTTATGATTTAAAATTTCTTCTGAAAAAGAATCGATTATTAGTCGTGTAAAGGTATATTCACCCTCCTTTTCCGCATGCCTTTGTGCAAGTGAAAGCGCGCTCGATGCGTTATTCGAGAGATCTGGAGTTCGAATGCCGGCGAGGGCATTTCTTCAATTTCTTGTCATCAAAAAATTCTAAAAGACTCTGCCGAACTAAAAAAAGGTGGTTGACGATTATTCGTCACCACCAGGATTTGGTGATTGGGTCTCCTAATTCAGAGTCCACCTTTAAAAGGGGGGATTTATAAAGTATTCTCGGGGCGCAATCCGATTCTCCCAACAGGCAAACTGTCTTATGGACAAACAAAAGGTTCTGCACCAGCTTAATACACAAATGAGAGCAGCGAGCGATCCTGCCAAGCTGATCCCCCCCGAAAAAAATTGGGGAAGCCCACCTCCCTCCCCCCTCCAAAAAATTAAAACATCTCCTTTTATCAGGCCTCTCTTTCTTAGTCCCGGAAAACCAGGACCTGTGCTCCGTATAATTAAAAGGTTGATATATAAACAAACCAAAAAGAAAATAAAAATAAACATTCAAACGATATTCATCATATAGTATAACCGCTGGGTATAACATGCATATAGGAAAACAGAGAGAAAAAAGCACCAAAATTAACCAAAAATAAATAACTGTTAGTTAACTATAAATAAGAAGACTATATAAGGTATTTTCTCCTTCCTTTCTGCAAGCCTTCGTGGCTGGGGGGTGTAACTGGGCGGGCACATTGGGCACTTTTTTGGGAGGTCTAGAGTTCGATTCGTCGAGGGCATCCACATTTTTCATGTTTCCGATCCGCATAAACTAATAATTCTACAGTCGCAACTTTTTTTATTATTATATTTATTCCTTTATTCTAAAAAGTTGACTTAAAATACAAAGAAAAATAAAGAAAAGGCATATTTAATATCGCAAGAAAAGTTCATGCACAAATGTTTCTCTTTTCTAAGCAATGCAGTCATCCGGCATTGAACTCAAGATAAAACTTGTCTTATATGAAAAATCAAGTTTTTAATTTTAGTCACATGTTATGCGTGAAGGTAGAATATTGTTAATATTTTTAGTAAACAGTTTTCAATAAAAATACTGTTGATATAAAAAAATAAATAAATAAACTGTCAGCCAACGTTTTTATAAAAAAAAATATTATAGCGGCGGAAAAAAGTCTCGCTGTCTGCATTGTTATAAATAAAGCAAATACGATTTGAATAATTTTAAATTGTTATAAATTGGAAGAAATTTTTAGAAAATGAAAGTAAGGTATACAATAGTGCAACAGTTTAACTTGAAAATTAAGGATTCATTTTAAAGCTACTTAATTTTCGATAAAAAAAATAAGATAGGCTTCACTTTAGATAAAAGTATCTCTTTTGGCGCGTAATTCTCTTTCCTGATGTCTTTAAGCGCTAAAAGTTTATAATTAGGCAGTCATGCTGATCACACGATTATAAATTCATCTCCTTTTTCCTCCGCGTTCCTCAATCTTAAATTTGAAAATATATATATACATATAAAAGTTAAATTTATCGCGGGAAAAGGGACGGAATATGCTGAAGAGAACACAGAAGTATTTGAGGCAGTGGCATTCTCAGAAAATCACCTACATTTTCCAAATGAAATGTTACAGCATATTAAATTTATGAAATTAATAAAAAAACAGGATAATTTAAATATCCTAAGAATGAGCAGATTATCTTGATTCTCATAGAAATATCTCAAATCCCTTGTAGTAGTATTCTCCATCCTTAACCAAGCATAAAAATTTTGGAACCAAATGAGTATGAAAATATATTTTAAATTCATACCCATTTGGTTCCAAAATTATATATATATTGAAAGCGCACAAAAGTATTATGGTTTAATCTATCAAGTAATATTAGATGGTTAATGTTATCAAAGAATAGTTGCTCATGCAAATTTGGCCAGCAATTAGTGTACTGAATAAATTATAAAATAAATAGTGAGTAGGTAATACATCAGTGTTAACTAATAAAACAAGAAAATATAATAAAACTGGCATTCGAAAGATGTTTTGAAGTAACTTGAATGTAAATTGTTAAAAATGTTTAACGGGGACTGGAATTAAATCATGAATAACAAAATTTCAATTGTAAAAAGAATAAATTAAAAGCAAGAATTAAATTAAATGCAAGTAATCATTGTCATTGATCGGAAATTAGTTGACTTTTCAAGGGGAACAAACCAACTCCCGTTCAATGAACAATAATTAAGAAATAAATACGAAGGTGTTTCGTCCTACTCGAGCAATAAGGCGATGCCAAACCGGCAATTCAAGTCAGGCTAAACATTTCCGCGAATAGAAGAGATTAAGAACCAATGCAGAGATCCAAAGAACTCATTCCGATGAAGCATTTTAGCTAATTCAATTTTGAGTGAAAAGCAATTTTTGCAGTAAAATTGATATCGCTCGAGTAACCGTCCCCCGACAATATATTATATAATTTTAAATTCACTTAGTGCGAAATCGAGTTATTCTATTTAATTATTTACATTCAAGTTACTTTAAAACAATTTTCGGAATTAAACTTACTAACTATGGATTCACACTTTTTAGATAATTACACTAAAATTAATCTTAGGAGATAATATAATCAATATTTCTTTAGTAAATAAAATATATGTATGTATATATATATATTTTTTCAGGTTTTCCCTCAACAACACTTATAAGTGCCAATCAAGTTACTTTAAAGTGCAGAAAGGTTGCCTTACTAATGCAGGTATTAAAGACAAATATACATTGTATAATCACAAGAATTTTGCTGTTTACATTTTAAAAAAAATAATGTTTATAATTAATCTGTGTGATAAAAGTTAGGAAAAAATATTGCGTCATGAAATCCATAATTTCAACGCTCTGATCGGGGTGGAGAGATCTTCAAGTTCTCATACCTTAAGTTTTAAGTATATGTACCTGTATGTAGAAATATATATATATATATTAAAAAAAAAACAACGAGGCTGCAAAGTTGTCTCTATAGAAGGCGATTATTTGGCCCTAAAGACATTCCTTTGCTAGTGTGTGTTTCAGTTTTTTCTTGCGAGAGGAAGTTGATTAAAAGCTATCTTCGATGAACAGTGTGTCTAGTAAGACCTAACGCTTTGGCAATTCTTTCCGTTGAAAATGCAGTAACTAAATACATTAAGTTTGATGAAGCTATAAACAAATTATCAGAAGTTCGCACAGAACAGATTTAGCTTTTTTTATTGACAGAAAAGTCAAAAACGCTTTTTTAAAATCAAAAATGGCAGATTAATAAGTTGCTTTAAATATATGTTTATCTGCTAGATGTAAGTTGTTTTTTCTTTAGTCTCTAGATTTTTTGTTTTCCAAATCATTTTAACTATTTAATTTTAATTAAATAAACATTATTTAAGAATTTGTGTGGTAATCATTCCAATAAGGGAAGCCCCAGGGAGATTTCCGCCCTGTGCTCGATAGCTGTTGGTCTGCTACTGCTGCTCATTAATTAATTCCATTTATAACTGAATTGCTTTTCAACCTAATCAATTACAAAACAACCAACGCCAGTATAATGCTAATAATAATATCACAAATCACTCCATTTTTTTTTGTAATACTAATAATGATATCAATATAAAATTCATAATTTAATGCCAATTAGACATTAATTATAATTAATTCCCCTGCATTCAGATATAATTCAACGAAAAATCTCAACAAAATATTTCTTAAAACGATAAAGAATTTCTCTTATTCGAGTTAAACCAGAGACCGAAAGTTTACCTAACTCGTCAGAATTTTTAGCAGATGGCCTTGAAAAGACGACCCTGAAATTGTGCAACGTATCGTCCTTTTCAATAAGGTACTTCCAAGGTTGCGTCCTCGCTTGTCACTCGTCAAATACCTCTTTCCGTCTGGGGGAGTGTCAAAGCAAAAGCTCTACCATTTCTGTCAACTGTGGGTGGTTACGGAAGGGTAGGAAGATCTGACATGATTTATCAGGTGGGTGTCACAAAGTTCCCAGTACTGAAGATTTGCAATGGATACCCTGACTCCCTTTGCTGCCATGATGTCACATTTCCCGATTAGCACAGTCTTAGCGCACCCGTAAAAACGATTACAAGGTGAAAAGGTATGAAAGAATGAGGTGTTAGTGGGGAGTAGTTCTATTCTAAAAATAGCGAACATAAGGGTAACAGTCATTCTGACCTGTTAAGTGAATGTGAAATACCAGAACTTTCTGAGGGACAAATAATTTTTAAAAATTGCCTATCAATATGCATGATTTACTTAACCAATCAAAATCTGTTAATATTGCAACTTTTTACATTACTTGTTTTAAATATTACATAGTCTCATTAAATTGATTACAGAAACTAGAAATATTGAAGCCCTTAAATATTAAATACTTCACTCTATAAGGGTTTATTGCTTTTCTCCATACAGGCTCTCGTGGTGTAGTTGTTAGAACGTCTAGCTACCAGTTGGAAGATTCATGGTTCGAACTCGGGGCTGACTTTTTAAATTTCTTGTAACAAAAGAATTAAAACCACAGCCATGGCTTAATTTCTAAAATTAGAAGTGTCGGAGCCCTATGGAAGACCTTCAGCAAATAGGAACAAAAGTAAATAAATAAATAAAATGACTATTAAAATCATTAAAAAATTTTTAATTAAATAGTTAAATTATTGCCAAATTAATCCGTAATTAATTAATTAATTTTATCAAATTATTATTTAATTAAATAAAAAATATTATTATTTATTTAAATGATTAAAGATTAAAGTAATTAAATAATTAAAGTAAAATAAAATGCAAGGAGATAAACTAAAATTTAATATGCGATTTTTAAAATTATTTTATTGCAAAAAATTAAATTTTCGAGATCAAATTTCTACTGAAATTGTTGTTCAGTTACGTAAAAGAAGTGTCGGAGCATTCTTATTTAGGGCTCCCGTGCGCTCCGCCTGGAATTATGATTTATCCCCAAAACTAAGTAGTAACGGAGCCGGACTCAGACGCAATATAAGCTCTGACCACAGCTGATTATTTAATTCATTAAGGACACAGCTGATTGCTCATGTTTCTTGCACCGAAAGAAACCTAACAGCTCTTCAGTGGCCGTCCGACTAATATAGTGGTGATGGATGAAAATTCGTCATAACTCAGATTTAGCCGACTAGGCCTCCTTTTATCTCTCTTACAAGTTGTACTTTAAATGAAGAAGATCAGGAATAATCACCTTCCCCCCTGCATTATTAATAAGTAATTATTTATACCACATTATTAATAAGTAATTAATATTTATAATAATTAATTATAGTTTTCATTTTAATCAATAATTTGATTAACTATCTCTCTTTCAATAAAAACTTTTCTGCCCTTTTGTTTTCGCTTAAACTAAATTTGCAACAAGCTTGGTTAACTGAAGGGCTACATAAACGGAATGAACTTTGCGTTAGAGCTTTTTATGTTTTAATTATTCAAACGAATGACGAAATATTCCATTAGTATTAATATCATTTGTGTGCTGCAAACTGCGCAACCCAGTCAATTCGTAATCATACGCCGCTAATGCGAATTCGGGCCGATTATATCAGTTTGACAATCAGATAACTGGGATTCGAAGTAAGAATGACAGTACATCAGAAACAATCGCACACATATGTGCGAATGGACTGGAACCACTATTATAATGAAGTATTACCATTGTAACTGTTGCTCCAGTAGTACTGTACTCTAGCAAGCTATATTCGATCTATTGGTGAGATTACTGAGATTGTTAAGATCTATTATTGATTTATTGCATTGTTGAGGATCTACTTAGAGGTCCTTTCTTGAGCTTGGTTCTATAAGGATAACACCCACCCGCCACAAATATCAATCACTCCACATGAGATAAATATTCATTGACAAATGAGAAAAATCATCACAAATTATGAACCTGCTTTTGCAACTCACTGACGTTCATATAAGGTCAGCATCCTTTGGTGGCGCAATGAGTTCAAAAGACCAGTGAAGATGGTATTCTGGTCAGGAAAATTTCTTCCCTCCCCCTCAGATCATATTAAATCCTTGTTTTTTTTTTATCCATAAATACGAAATGGCGAATGCTGCTAGGGGGTAGAGTGCTACTTGCATTTTTCCTGTAGAATTTAACGTGTTTGGTTATCAGCCAAAGGGTCTAAATTCTTGGTAGACATTAAGCGAATTATCGCTAAGTAACAACTCAAACTTCGGAAAGGTGTAAAAGACCTTTTATTTAGCGTCACTTTGTGTTTGCAACTCAACCAACTGTGGCGATTCAAACGTAAAATTTAAATTCAAATAAACTACTAGCCAAAGGCTACACAATCAATTTAACGCGACTTTGGCTCAGAACTTAACCGGCGTGGAATTCAACTATTGTCAATTGTAATGCAAGCCCGAAGACTGGAACTCTTATCTAAGACATTAACTTAGTAACGTGGCCACGAGAGGTAGAACACGCTCTGGCTTACAGTTTTAACCCTAACTTTAAATACACACGAATTAAAATGCATTGTTGCGGGAAACGAAAAGGGAGAAGTGATAGTACAGATCCAAAGCATAAAATAACTGGTTAATTAATATAAAGGAGCCTCACAATGCAACTCAATCTTTCTAATTTTCCAGAAACATCTTACAACAGATCTTCTTCAAGTCTTTCTTAAGTTGAATATCAAACATTTTGCACTCGCACCTTAAAATTCCTTAGATGTAGGCCATTTCAAATTGGTTCATTTCTGGCTGTTCTGTTTTCCCCCCCCCCCCCCCCCCCCCCCCCCCCCCCCCCCCCCCCCCCCCCCCCCCCCCCCCCCCCCCCCCCCCCCCCCCCCCCCCCCCCCCCCCCCCCTCCCCCCCCCCCCCCCCCCCCCCCGCCCCCCCCCCCCCCCCCCCCCCCCCCCCCCCCCACCCCCCCCCCCCCCCCCCCCCCCCCCCCCCCCCCACCCCCCCCCCCCCCCCCCCCCCCCGTTCTTACTCCAAAGAATGTTCATGAATATGAAACTGTTCCAGTAGGTATTACTGAATTATATGAAGGGTGTCCGCCGATAACATCGCAATAAAAACATCGCGGAAGAAAACGTCGCGGAGAAAACAACGCAAAGCGAAAACGTCGTGCTACAAAGCATCGTGGGAGAAAACATTGCAAAGAGAAAACATCGCAGTTCTAAAACATAGTGGTACAAATCATCGACGTCGAAAATAAAGCGGTTCAAAACTTCGCTAAAAGCATCGTCATCGAAAATATCGCGGTAAAAAATAAAATATCTACAAATCATCACATGGCGATAACATCGCAGACAAGTGGCTTTTTTCAGGCTTTAATAATTGTAAATGGATATTCCCATAATGATTTGCGAGCGCAAGATGTATATTAATTAATAAATTTTTTCTGAAAAAGTAAGAAGGAAACTTAATCATAAAAAATTAAATGCAACTTATAGATTATACTTTTCATGAAAAATTACCAGTCAAAACTTTATAAAAAATGATTTATTAATGGCCTTTGTTGGTTAAATATGTCGGTTTAAAATTATATTAAGTGCTATAAGTTGGTTATTTGAATATTTGAATATGGCTTGGTTACCCTTTGGCTTGGTTATTTGAATATGGCAAAGCACACAAGGGTTATCTGCCTAAGGGAAAGGATGGCTTCATGGAATACCTTTTCAGAGGAAAATGGTTCGTATCCACGTTAATGTAGATACCCCATTAGCCTAGGTTCGAACCTGG